ATAGAGCATATTTAAAACAGAAACTGTTACCAAAGTGCTTATATATATATATATCCAATTTATTTATAAACTGATGGATTTATGTATTAATAGTTAAATGGGCAGACAAATGTACATATAGTTGGATGAACGAAAATATTATTCTTTTGTTTTGATGCATTGAAATAATTACATTCATACTCCCCATCAGTATTTTGGGGATATGTGGACTTTATATGTGTATACACTATTAGCTGCTTCATTTTGGGCTAAATATTGAAATAATAACTAAGTGCTTATTATGTTATAAAAATATTTACTTTATAGCACTTTCTTACATTTGTAGTTGCTTTTCAGATGCAAAGATTTAACAAAAATAATCAACTTACAAAATAATTTAACACATCTGTGCAATGCCTTAAAGCACGAGTTCTGTTCATAGCTGAAAAAAACATTTTAAATTTAAATCAAGTATAAACAAAACTCATTAGTTAAATGACAAATTCCATTTATTATATATTTTTTCACAAACTGAAACTTAAACTTGAATGTTGTTGGATAAAAATATCTGAATATTGCCTTTCTGCAGAACTTACAGCGTCAACACATCTGTATCGGCAGCAGAGGTTGCTTTTAAATGCAAAGGTTTATTTTTGTATGTCTGAAGTAAATATAGCAGGAAATGCCCAAAGAATTTAGTTTGCAACAAAGTATTGATGTTGGTAAGTTCTTGTCAGGTCCAGGATCTGGGGAAGGTTTTTATTTTTTTTAACCTTTCAGTGTTTGTGTCAGAATTTGATTATTGCGCATCATCATACAAGTAATGACCGTTCAATCTGGGATTATTTGCAAAATATCTCATGAGCCACTGGACAGATTTTGATGAAACTCTTGGTAACAAATCATTAGATGAACATCTCCAACTGATCAGCTTTTAGTTAACCTTTTTCAAGTGGACCAGAAAAGCTAATTGACCTTAAAAATAAAAGTCTGATGTGATTGTAGCGCGTCTTCTCTGGGCTATAATGGATCACTCATCTTTACTGTGGGTGCAGTGCATTCCTTTAAACAATAAGTTTTTAATTTACATCAGATTATACCTATATGGAGAAAGCTTTTGTGATTTATATTAATGTTGTGTATCATAATATAAAGTCACATATCTAAAATGACCATTTTTCTTTGCAATGAATTCTTATCTGCAACATCTCTACAAAAAACATTTATTTATCTAGTTTCTCCATGTGTCACAAGCAAGCTCCTAATATTTCATTTTTATTACCACATTCAGTCTTTTTCTGTTTAATATTAACAGAAACCAGTGGAACATTCTCCAGTTTTACATTATAAATCATTTATTGCAGTATAAATCACCTGAAAGTACATGATATAAAATAATGGAATATGATAATAGGAAGTCATAATGTGTGTGATTATTTATGACTACAGATAAGGTATCATTATCAGCAACACATCATCCAGCTGTGGTCCAAACATCCACTCTGCTTTAAACATCTGCAGCCAACACAATTGTTTTTTTGTTTGTTTTGTCTCCACTTTCCTTTTTTAATCTCAGCCTTGATTATTTGGGAACATCACAAATGAGGGGAAAGTGCAACATTTGTCGAACAGTTCAGTCACAGCGAGCACAGTGTTCACATTAATGAGGACACACATCATCAGCATCAGCTCACTCAACATGAGGCTCTCAGATCGACTTTGATCAAAACAAGCAAGATCTTCCAACTCAAATAATGGAATCACTGTTTGTGTTTATTAGGATGAAAAAGAAGTCCCTTTGATGCCGTTCGTTTCATGGCTCCCAGTTTGTGATGCTAAATGGACTAATACAACATCAAATACTGCTGACGTGGAAGAAAAGTATTTTGTACTCAAAGTTCTGATCCACAGATGTTGAGGTGGGCAGCTGTGGCTTAATGGTTATAGCAGCTGTCCATTGGTTACGTGGGTTCAATTCCACCAGCAGTCCCATGTTGAAGTGTCCCTGGGCAAGACACTGACCCCCTCATCACCTCTGCTGTGTGTCCCATGGGTGCATGAATGTGAGCTGACGCTCTGATCTGTTTAGAAGGATTTGTTCAATTAGCAGAGTGCTGTATGAATGTGTGTGTGGAGCTAAATGAAGGCACAGATTGTGTTGTAAAGCGCTTTTGAGTTTCTTGATTACACAGAAAGGCGCCAAGTACAGTCCATTTACCATTTATGATGTGCACGTTTTCTGAAGAACGGTACTATTAACATATTGGAAAAGTTGTTTAAAAGCAACAACTTCACAAGTGGAAAAGGGTGCTGAAGCATAAAAGGGTGCTGAAGCATAAAAGGGTGCTGAAGCTTAACATATACTCGCATCAAATACTCCAATTTCATCCCAATAATTCTCTCTTATAAAACAACTCTGGAGCTATTTACAATACAATCCATCTTAGTTTGATAAAAGCCACCTGCCTCATCTGACCTGGGCCTCCATCAGGACAGAAGTCTGAAGACTCGAACCTTTTGGTATCTGGAGAAGGAAAGGTGAGACTAAGCAAAGAGGCACACGACCCAGAAGCTCTTTCATAAACTATTCAAGCTGCTATGATCTGTCTTATTATTCACAAATAATTCATGTTCATATACGTAAAAAAAATAAAATTTAACTACCACATGTATACAACTACTGAGGATGCTATATGGTCTCATACAAAGAATGCACATTGTCCACATTTTGTGCTTTATTGCTACTGATTGTACCAGCATCAGGTGCTCTCTTTCTGTAACTCTTCACTGGAACACATTCAGGACTGAGCTCATCTTGCTGAAATAGTGCAACTGTAGTGGTTTTGTTTCTTTAAAGTTTCAGCTTTATTGATTGCTTCTTTCTTGCTGTTCCTTCAAAACGAATACTCAAAAGCTTCTCAAATTCAAAAAAACGCATTGATCGTTTGGAAAAGTTCAACGTGGAATGCCCGACAGTTCTTCTAATCCTTCCTTTGAGTTTTCATCAATGCTCATCCACTTCTTCACCCAAAACGGGTCATTGTTTAGGGGGGTGGGATGTGCGTACCTTGGGTTCACCACAGACTCACTGAGATCATGAAGTGGTTTTAGTTTTGGCAGTCTGAGGAGTAGGAGGGGTGGCGTGGTCAGAGTCTTTGGCTGATTATGAAAGCCTTTCTCTTTCGCCCCATGTCCTTACACCCCCACCCTCTCTGCTCCTGCTCCACTGTCACAGAAAGCTGTCCTCCACCAGGTCAGAACAGTCCAGACACATCTCATCCAGAAGCGTGATGTCCTCTAGAGTCTCGCCCTCACGCTTGGCGTAGGTGGAGCTGCTCGAGCCTGTCTCGATGGCGCTCTCCTCAGATGTTTGAGAACTAAAAGTGCAGCAAATTAGACACGTTTAAATCAATGTTTTCTCTGATGCTGTGTACTGTGGTCAGAGAGCACGACTCGTCACTTTACCTGTATCTGTTCCTCTTTCCATAGTCGTCGTCTGATACTGGGTCCAGGTCTGGGAGTGGGATTATGTAGCCACTGTCAGAGCTCAGTCGCTGCTCATCAAAGCCACTTTCTCGATCTTTTAGCTTGCCCTGGTTCTTGTACGGGATGTCAACGTAATCTGCATCAGCGTCTGTGCACACCCGGGTCACGGCAGGATGGTCGCTCTTCAGGAAGTCACGGTTCACTCTTTCATAATGCTGCACAAGACAAAAAGCGTTGCTGTTAGACTGCAAGAACAAAATAAAGATGTGCAGACAACAATGACGTGGTGACGTTTGCACACATATAAGCAGAGAATAAAGTAACCCTCGGGAGTTGAGGACTGTTTTATGAGAGTTTGTGATCACTGATTTTGCCGCCAGCTCAAGTGATGTCCAAACATTGCGGCTGAGCCCCACGTGGTTCCTCCAGAAATGTTTTTTTTCTTTACTGTCAGCCATTAAAGCTGTGAGCAGGGCGGAGGTAAAGCTGCTCTGACGTGTTATATGTTGTGGAAGGCTAATTAAAGTTGGGTGGTATAGGCGACAACTTGTGCAGTGTCATTACCTACAATGAGGCTGTGACATGCAGCTGCGACACCGAGGCTCCAATCACATTTTACACAGGAGCAGAGAGCCTAAAGAAACACTTCTAATGCACTCACAGAAGATGTGGAAAGGGCTTTAAAGTGCCTTCTACTTTAATAACTTATTTAAATGGTTTTCAACCGGTACTTTGTTTTTCAAACTAATGTCTGCAAGAAACCGCCTTTTCATTTTGATTTGCAGTACATTTTAAAAGCGGATGTTATAAATTCACAGAGGTCTGAAGGGGAAAAGGTCACAAAAAGACTCACCCTCTTGTAGCTGGAGGGCAGCAAAGACTTGACAGTTTCACTCAGACCCATGAAGGAAGGCCTCTTCTCTGGCTCACTGTTCCAGCATTTCATCATCATCTCATACCTGAAAAATCACATAATGCTCTCCTAAGAACTGGTTCAAACAGTCACGTGCCTTGTGGTTTTACCATGACTGATGGCAGCCACCACTGCTCAGATCAGTAAGCCAGTGTGTTTTATGTAACAAACATTGTGACCATAGTGTTTGATCACATACACATCCTTAGGTGCGTGCTCTGGTTTGGACATCCTGTATCCACTCTTGATCTTGTTGTAGAAGCTGGAGTCCACCACCATCCCTGGATACGGTGTGCCACCTTAACAAAAAACATGTTCTGTTACAGGTTGACTAACCTTATTATCTGAAATGTGAACATGTAAAAAAAATCTAGATTTCATTGTGGCATTTTGTGCACGTGATATCTACCTAAAATTAAATAAATATGAAGTTAGTTTAAACATATTTATAAAGCATTTTTCATATAAATGAATGCAGCATAAAGTGCTTTAAATAACACAAAATCAAATAATTTAAGAAGTTTGGTAAAGAGCTTCAAAGCGTTGATGTGTAAATGACAAATGCTTTTAATACTTGTACAGCAAGCAGGGCTTTTACACGGAGGGGGCCTAAAGAGACAGCATCTAAACAAACAAGGTAAATCAGGTGCAGAGGCTTTGTATAATATAAATTATGTTTTTTTATTGTTATCGTTTTAAAGCATGCACACCTCTGGGTTAAACCCCCACTTCAAACCCCTCGTGTTCAAACATATAATCCATCCATCCATTATCTTTACCCACTTCTTCTTTATAAATATATATATATATATAAATACAAGTTTGGTGCATTTATAGAGTTTCACAGAAGCTTACCTAAGGAGAATATTTCCCAGAGAAGGATGCCATATGACCAAACATCACTGAGAGTGGTGTAGAGATTGTCAAAGATGCTTTCTGGTGCCATCCATTTTACTGGCAAAAAGGTCTATCATGAAAGAGAAGGCACAATTTTTACTGTATTTGTAAAAACCTTGGGAGAAAAAAAAGCATTTTAAATTCACTGCATGGTTTAGGAATAATTTTATGTCCAAGTAGAAACTTACGCTTCCTTTGGAAACATAGTTGTTGTCATGCATAATATCTCTGGCCAGTCCAAAGTCACAAATCTTAACGATCTTGCCTTGAGAGAGGAGGACATTCCTGGCTGCGAGGTCCCGATGAACACACTGTACAAAGGAAGAACCATCCAAAATGTTGGAGGTGCTGCTTTCATCTGTTCTCAGCTCAGCACATTTTGCTCTACCACAGCTACCGACCATTTCTGAGTTTCACTTCAGCCAATTCATTTTTTATACTGTTTCATTTTGCTTCATGAAGCATAATCGCTGTGTAAACATGCCAGTTGGAAGGATGGCTGTGACCACTGGATATTTAAGGATAATAACTATATGGTTGGATGAATAGTTTCTGGCTGCAGTGAGTTCCTGCCTGGTAATTCTAGTTCTGACTTCTATATTCAGAGTCTGGCCTTTTTCCTGAGTGGGTACAGCAACATTCAGCTGCTTATCATACAACCTTTGATTTCCTCAGTGCCCACCCCACCTCTGGCCGGCACAAGCTGCTATTAGCGCCTCAGAAAGCAACAAGTTGTGAGGATGTAAAAATGCAGAAAAACAAGATTTTTATGCAAACTTACATTTTTAGAAGCAAGAAACTCCATTCCCCTTGCCACCTGGTAGGTAAAACTGAGCAGGTCGACAGTTGTGAGGCCTTCGTCCATGCTGTCTGACAGCAGGGCGTCCATCTCGGACTCTGCTTTGGAAAACACAGACACCATGAGCATTTCCTCAGGTTCAACATGTGCTGTAAATATAGCACTCTCCTCCCAGACCTGGCTTTTAATGGCAGGCAGAAACTGGGCATTATTATGTGTGCACTACAATTATCTTCTCTGTGTAATTACAGGCCACTTCCAGTCCTAAATTTTGACAAGGGTGTACCCTTCAACCAACAATGACTCAAACACAACGCCAAAGCCATAACTTTGAGAAAGAGGACAGGGAGCTGCAGGGCGTACCGGTCGAGCCTTTCTGTGAGGGAGGGTGGTCATAGTTAGACCTCCGGACGTCAGAGTACTTGGAGGTGCTGCTCATCTCCAGCATTGGGACATACTGAGTATTGTCCACCTGCTTCATATCCATGTAGTCTCCTTTCTTCTCAAAGGACAGGATCACATAACTGAGAGTAAAGGCGAGAGGAGAATGCTGTTAGTGGTGACAGGTCGTTGAGATCAGACTGAGCCCCAGACTGAGCATACTTTACATCAATTTGGCCACTTGCCCTCCCAGTTCTTTGTGCTGAAGTTAGTGGGAGATGTGTTTGAGGCTAACATGGTGACCAGGATTAAATCAGGTTATGGTCATTTTGAGGTGTGGTTGCTGTGAGTCATCCATCAACACGGATGAATCTCAAGCGGGAAGAGGACAGGCTGCCATTTCACTGTGAATGTTTGGGCGGGAACAATTGACAGGTACCACCATGATAATGAAATTAGACTGAAAGCTGAGACCACTTCAGACTTTAATGTGATTAGAGAAAGATGCTAGACAATTTCCTTTGCCATGGAGAGAACACTGATTGAGTTATAGATTAGGAGCAGGGGGAGAATTTGGGTGTGTGACAGAAAGTCTGATTTGGGGGCTTTTTTTTCCAAACCATAGACGTCTTAACAATAACCAAATAAAATAAAATAATATAAAAATAAATAAATAAATAAATAAAAATATATATATATATCAGAAATACCTTCTGCTGCTCTCATCTGCAGGGTTGATACCAAAGATATCCAGCTCCTTTTTGTTTTTCTCTGGGCTCAGGCTGTGAAAGTTCTCCCTGTTCTTGTGCAGATAGTTGACCAGGTCTCCGTAGAAGCAGTACTCGGTGATAATGTAGATAGGGCCTGAGAGCAACACAGCAGATAAAGTTGCACATCGGCGTCAGTCTACAGACTAATCTTATCAGAGACTCGTAAAAGCTGAAAGCACAGTCAGGAGGGTGAGCCTTCACTTCTCCATAAAAAGCCCATGAAAATAGCAAAGCCACGGAGAGCTGAGGAAGCACTGAGTCTTCTTGTGGCTGTTGCCAAATCTGAATGTGTGTATAGGTGTTTGATGAAACTGTAGATGGTTGTACTACAGTATTATCAAACAATACGTATTTTGAATGAGCATGTTGATTTACATGTGTTTTCCTGCGTATTTTTCACCTGACTTGGTGCATGCTCCCAGGAGGTTAACAATGTTTAGATGTGGTCCGAGGTGAGTCATGATCTTCAGTTCAGACATCAGGGCTTGTTTCTCGCTGGACCGAGCCGTGGCTGGAAGAAAGTACAGCAGCCGTGACTATCATCACACTCCATCAAAGCAAGTCAACAAATCATACATGAGGCCAGGATTTCCTTTTTATTGCAACATGTTAGTTTGTTGTTTATGCTGTGGTTTGTTTTTGTGAACATTTTTCAGCGTTTCCTTTTCTTTTTCTTTGACTGTTGCCCCATCAAGTCTACTGGGTGCACCAAAGAACAAACACCAAAACTAGATGCTATCCTCATGAATGCTCAGTTTTCCAGAAGGTTAAGGCCCCGTTTACAGAGATGTGTTTTCTGAGTGGTTCGGCCGTTCATTTACAGACAACAGCCCTCGTTCTCTCTGAAACCAAAGGTTTCTGAATTCAGGTCTCAGAGTGGAGATTTTCGGGAGAACTTCCTGCAGAGGTGTGAAATGCTCTGCAAGTGTGAAGTCGCACATGCGCACTACAGGCGTACATTTCACGCATGTGCAGCCAAACGGCATACTTCTATCCACAACAATGGCGCTGGAGTATAACATGTTGCTTTCTGTGCCACATTAAGCAACAAACTGACCTCATCATCAGTCCACACAAAGCTTTTCCTGCTGCCTTCCACTCTCCAAGTGAATATTTACATTCTATACACATAGGATTCAAGTGCCAGTGCACATGGGCATTAGGTGAAGGTACAAAATTCAGAGCGCCAGCTAATGACCTGGCATGGCAACTACAGCGGACTCTGGGGATTTCTGCGGTTCAGTGTTAACACCATAAAATCCATGTAAGCGAGGATGTTTCCCCTGAATTAACATCTGAAAAACACTAAGTTTCTAGCGGCTGAGTCTGTGTAAACAGGACCATAATTCAGGTCCTCTGGACCTCTGGTTCTTCTAGTTGTTCACATGCACAAGGAGGACGATCAGCCTAACAACTGATCATTAGTGTCCTAATTCAATTCAGTTTATTTATATAGCACTAAGTCACAACAGAAGTCATCTCAAGACACTGACCAGAAACATATACATAAAACATAAGTTAATAACATTATTTTTCTGAGGAGCAGACTGCTTTCAGTTTAACTTCATCGCAGAACTCTCATTTTGAGCAAGCACAAAGGCAACAGTGGAAAGGAAATACTCCCTGATGAGGAAGAAACCTCCAGCAGAACCAGGTGCAGGACAAGTGGTCATCTGCTTTGACAGACTGGTTTGAGAGGAACAGGAAGGAGGAACAGATACACAATGGCAGGTCAAGAATAACAATTTAAGATATAAATAATTTCAAATGAAACTATTCATTTGTCACAATTAATAATAATAATAATAAAAAAAGAGGTTGATTTGTCCTGCAGAAGTCTAAGCCTATAACAGCATAACAAGCCGACCCTAACTATAGGATTTATCAAAAAGGAAAGTCTTAATCCGATTCTTAAAACTGGACAATGTGTCGGCCTCATGGACATACACTGGAAGTTGGTTCCACAAGAGAGGAGCCTGATAACTGAAAGATCAGCGTCCCATTCTGTTTTTGGAAACTCTAGGAACCACAAGTAAACCTGCAGTCTGAGAGCGAAGTGCTCTGTTAGGAAAATATGGAACAATAAGATCTGTAATATAAGATGGAGCTAGGTTGTTGAGAGCTTTGTAGGTTAGGTCACAACAGAAATTGTCTCAGGGCACTGAACAAAAACATTCACATAAATAAAAAGTCAAGTAGAAACATTATTTATCTAATGAAGTCAATCTGGTTGATCCACTATGAGAAGGTACTGTGATCGCAGCTCCTCAGACTGATACTCATGATACTTCATACACTCATCGGGTGCACCTTCAAAAAGTTTTCAGCAGGGTTGCCAGATAGGTACCACTTTTATTTTCGGTATGGCACACTAAAACAAACACCCTTGAAAAATATAAATTTTATCATGTTTTACGTTATTTGAAAACTACAGCAATTTGGGAGTGTGGTATTTCGGTTGGTTTTACTAAAAGCTTGTCTTCTCCTCAAAGAATCATTATTATAAAAGATGCATTTCCTAAAACATTGCAAATTGCCCAGACCCTTGCATACCAAAGTTTAAAACAAAGATCTTTTTTGATAATGTTAATACCTAGAGTACGTTTTTGGGATGTTTCTCAGCTACCATCACACTAAATTTTAGCTCAGTATCAGTACAAAAAATAGATACTGTATATCCAATATTGTGTTTACTAAGGTTTATTAGCCAGAGCAGCCATCTTGAATCAGATTAACTACAAATGTTAACAAATTACGGATATATATCCAATGATTATTTTCTGGGAGTTGTATTAAAACCAGTTCAATGATTCAAGAGTTAGAGGCTCCTGTTATCCTCACTGAATTAATATTTAAAACAGTATCTCATTAACTATTGGTGCTGATGATTTTGTTTGTATACTGGTACTTTAATTCCCAGTTTAAAAACATCTTAATTGTTTGAAGTGCAGTAGAAACAAGTAGCTTCTGTCACAGAGCCAATCTCAATAATCCATACTACTGCTACTTGCAGCTTTTCTGTGATGGTAAATGGACTGTACTTATATAGCACCTTTCTATCTTATTTCAAGCTACTCAAAGCACTTTACACTACAATCTGTGTCCTCATTTACCCATTCATACAGCACTCTACATCTCTAACAGCAGCTTGGCTCAGCTGTCCTGTCTTTAAACTCACGTTTTAACATTTTCACTGCCACCTTCATAACGGGCTGAGAGCGGCTGAGTCCATAAGCGGTGCCTTCAACCACCTTCCCAAAAGCTCCAGAGCCCAGGATACGACCTAAGAAACACAAAGCAAGAATAGGGTCAGTTATCCAGATTCAACATGCTGCCGTCTCATCTTTGACACTTGTGGTGCCTGATGTCCCTTGATCACTGGTCCAAACCAAATCTCTGCAACCAAGCCCCCACTCTCCAAATCACAGTTATCTTATCATAGACTAACTTCAAAGGCAAAGAGAGATTTACAGGTTGGAGCATCTCCAATGACAGCCATTTCATTGCTGGCAGACCTTGAAACCTTTAAAAATATATACTGAACTCACCAAGCACAAGTCTGTCACGAGGAAACTCCCACCTAGAGTCATAAGGAAGTTGCATGGGATCCACATAGATGTACTCATGGCCATCTGGGCTCACAGACTCTATGACTCTCCAGCGAATCTCATATCTTGGTTTCTGAAAGACAGAGAACACAGGAATTCATGGTTGTCCATAGGAAAACCCTGAGAGCAGTGACTATTTTACCCAGAGAAAAAAAAAATCAAACATGCACTATGTAGCTGTGCACATTTGATGTTAAACAACCTAAACAGTGTGACATTTAAATTAAAATCTTGGAAGTAAATGCTAAAAATGAGGACATGAATAACTGAAAGAAAATGAGGCAATGAGCCAAATGATGACAAGAGTACCTGTTTCCAGATGACAACCAAGACAATGAGTGAGATGATGACAATGACCAGGAGCACCAGCACAGCAGCAGCTACAGTCAGCTCAGGGTGAGGGCCTGTGCATGAGGAAAGCCAGTGGTCACACATGTTAGAATACATTACCAACATGGAAGCATGTAGTGAGTGTTGCATGAGGATAGGTTCCTTTGATCAAGTTAAAACCACATTAATCTCAAAAGGTATGTTGAAAAGGAAATGGAAATGGAAAAGAGGAGGCTAGACATTGGCAGAGCAAGATGGGGGTGAGGATGGGAAAGCTCATCTGCAAGGACTGATCTTCCACAGTAATAGTTTAAACTCATCTTCTTACAGCTGCTGTAACTCTGACAAACTGCTCTTTAGGCGGCCCACAGCAGTTTTAGAAATCAAAGGTGGCGACACCATCAAATTTCAATTCAAAGCTGAGTAAAAAGACAAGCAAAGATCTCTGGGGATTGTGATACGAGTGAGCTCTTACCATTGGACACCAGTTTGATCTCCCTGCTAATGACAGCCATTTCATTGGTGGCAAGGCAACGCACGGCCAGTGTGCTTTCGAGATGACCAAACATGACCTGGCTCTCCAGGTTGCCCTCTTCATCAAAGTGTGACTCCGTGGTGATCTCCGTGGAGTTGGTGGCAAGAGGCTGCCACACAGAAGAATCATTGGCACAACTAGACGGGAGCAAATAAAATAAAATAAATCAATCTAGTCAGATCAATTAAAGAGAAAAACTTGAAAAACAAGTCCAGAGGCATTTTCATTTTGAAGAAAATTGATCTTACTGTTTGATGTTCTTGCAGATGAACCACTCCACCACAGGAGTGGGCTGCCCCCTGGTGATACACACCACAGACTGGCCTGTGGTTGAACCATGATGGAGGTCCATCAGGTCCACAATGACTGCAGGCACTATAACATCAGGGGCCAGATGAGATGTTAGCAGAGCAGCATAAGCAAACATGAAATATCAACAGACTCTAGATTCCGCTAAAATTTGGTTAACATTCAAATCCAAAGAAATAAAAGCTGACCTTTAACCTCCAAGGTAAAGCTGACATCACGACTTAGGTTTCCATTCTGTATGTGCATGGTGTAGTTCCCACTGTCCTCCTCCTTGGCACGGATCAGTGTGAGAACACTCATGTAGCTGTACAGAGAAACAAAAGCAGAAGCATAACATCACACCACTAAAGCCCAGTTAGAGAGAGCAATTTTACCTTGAGGTTGGGGCTGGATGATATGGACCAATATTAATATCTCAATATTTTTAAGATGAATGGCGATATATAATATATATTGATTTTTTTTTCTTTCCATAAAGTAATAACTAAAATATATTTCTGAGTCAAAGCCTTGTCCCAATTGTCACACAGGCACCTTTATTAACAAACAGCTGTAACTGTACAAAATAAATGTCTAATATATATATATATATATTCTGTATAACAAAACCAAATACACAGCTGTGCACTTACAATGTAAACAGAAAACAAACAGAGCAAACATAATGAAAGGCTGACTTGCTCTTTCAAAAGTCTGATTCTAATGAAGTATATTCAATCAACCTTTATTAACCTCCACCTCCTCTGTGGTCCACACCTGCTCTCACCCACCTGGTGCAGAAGGACTCCTATGCTCTTTGCAGACTTCACGTCTGCCTTCAATACCACGATCCCCCAGACCCTGATGGACCCTGATGCACGTACCCCTGCAGGGCATGTCCATGCAAAGCTCAATTTTCAAGGACCACGTATGTGTACGCGGTGTCGCACAATAAACTGCCCGGCGACAGACTGTTTTGTATGCGACACCAATGTATTAAATTCCCCTTCTTCATCCCTGATCTGGCCTTTTCTTTAGTTTTTTTTTTGTCATGAGGCAAGTGATCTCTTCCTCCTCCATTGATGCCATGACTGAAATGGTGAGAAATGAAAAAATTTGAGACGAGCAAGTTAAAATCAAGTCCAGCGTGGCTGCGGGAGGGTCTGGCGATTTCCTGGTGGGCTGGTCTGATGTGTGGGCTGCAGGGCCAGCGCTCCCTGTTTTGTTATTTTTTTAGAAGTTTTTATTAACAACATATAAACACAACACCGCTGCAGCTGGGGCTGCCAGCTCTCTTTTATTTGTTATTGATTTTTTGCAACCTGTCAATCAATCCAGTACGCTTGTCGGCGACCTCAATTTGTCCCGAAGGTAAACGCCGCTTGATTGCGGAGCTGGTCTGCAGCCGCTCAGGGTGGACGCTCGAGTATGAAGTCTCAACCCTCTGCGGACAGTGCGCGTCGAGTCCGCGTGGAAAAAGGTCCGCACGAGTATACTGGAGCCTTAAGACAAATGCCTCATTTCCATAGGTCCTGCTCGGCCCGGCCAAGGTCGGATCGCTTCATTTTCCATTTCAACAGTGCCCATTAGTGCCACTTTATGCTTTCAGTACCGATTACAGTGGGTGGGGTTCAAATTGATGTTATGAGCCTCACCAGCTAGTGGTGGTAAAACCCTGAAACAGGTTTCAGTACTTGGTGAGAATTTATTTCGAAGTTTCTGGTAAATTAAAAAGAAAACAGATTATTAAAATGATCGAATTAAACATGTATTATATATTTACAGTATCGGGGTTTCCTCTACATGTATTGTATTGTGGAACGCCACCACAGTAAAATACAAGCTGCCACACGTTCAGAATAAAGATTTATATAGACTTTAAATAAATTTAATTATCAGGAAATGTTCAAATTTACTTTATTTTGAAAAGCCAACACTACTGGCTCCTGCTAACTGCAGCACTGCTCTGTGAAACTAGAGATGAGTCGACAGTTAAAAGTAAAGGGAGAGAAAAGATGAAAGTTACCAGTAGCTTAGCAGGTGGCGGGTGCTCATCTCCTCGGGGGGGTTGTTGTCAGGGCGGGGGGAGGAGGGGGAGACACCGCCGTGTTGCCTGTTAGCTTACATCTATGTTAGTGACGTCAGCTGTTGACTGGCAGGTGTGTGTGTGTGTGTGTGTGTGTGTGTCAGGATGTGTGAGAGAAATGGAGTGTGTAGCAACTTAGCTAGTGTGTCTGTGTTGTGCGCGGTGAGATTTTGCCTTAATATTTGAGAAGTCCAGCTGATGGTGTTATAGAGAACACCTTGAAGGAGAAACATCACGTTGAGAAGAAAGAAGCCAGGTAACACAAGTATTATGGAAACTAAAATTGTTAAAATCTGTGATGGAGAAGGAATAGCGGAAATGAAAACAACAGGAGAAGGAGATGGATGTTATTCCCAGAGGACTGTGAAGAAAAGGGGAATAAAAGTTGTGAAGGTTAGAAATTGTGACAGGAAGGAACGAACCTGTAAATTATTTGTATTTTAATTATTACATGCAGGTTGACAAAACTGACAAAAATGTTTTTGTGTTTTTGTCACAGTGTACTTTAATGTTGGGAGGGCATGATGTCAGGTCCTGCTCAATAATTTCAACAATTTTTAAAATCCGTCCAGGGAACCTGACTTAATTTTGTTGATGTCTCTAAAATAATTATTGAATCAAGTGTTTACAAATGTAGGTACACGTGGATGTTCAACAACTTATTAAAATACACCATAATGCAGGGAATGGCATCTATTTTCTTCAAATATTTTCTGGGGAAGGATTATTATTATTATTATTATTAGCTTTGCTTTAAAGTTCTTGTTTTGTGATTTGTACATCTGTGGGTCGTATCTCTTCTTAAACATACTTGAGGGAAATATTCCCGAGAGATCCAATAATTTTGTGTCTTTTTATGATTTTTCAGGTGATTTAACTTTAACAGGTTATTCAATAGGCATTAAAGTGAAAACAGGACTTCATGATAAAGCTGGCACCGTTTAATTATTTATTTTTTAAATCTTCACTAATTAAAAAATACATAATTTTTTTTATACCTAACATGTTTTTAAACATTGTTTCCACCGTCCGTCCCAGATCCATCCCAATCCGCCTGTCTGCTGGGACCGGGGTTCAGCCTTCATGATTACGCGAGGCCAGGGTCTGGGCAACGGCCTTCTGTGAGTCAGCAGCTCGAGTCATTGAGCATGCAAGGCTGGGATCTGGAGCCCAAGCCCTGAGTCGGCACCATGGAGGATCTTCCGCGGTGACCAGTGGAGCTCGGAGCCGGGGAGATGAGCCCTGTTCGGCCTGGCTGGCTCTGAGGCTCCGGTGAAGAGAACTGGGGAAACCGGCAAAACTCCATCTAGCTCGCTCTGAATTTTGTCGTCTGCTACCAAGCACAAAAATCGCCTGCACTTCAGGATTAGATCACAGTGTTGTCATTATTGTTTTTAAAATCTTTAAAATAGATCCAGGCTTCCATGGCAGATTGGTGTGAAAAGTTTCTGAAAGATCCAGTGACTCCTCCCCTTGACCAATCAGTGACTGACAGTGCGCTGACATCACGTTTAAGGTCCTTCTTGGCCTCACTTGAACCGCAGAGAAGTAGGTACAGAAAAAACAGGCCAGTTCAACAAAAAAGACCCTGTGGAAAAGAACACTGAACTGGCCTGAGCAGGTAAAACAAGGCCAAGGAGGAACTGTGGAAAAGAGGCAAGCCCCTCCATTTGCAACTGGGTCCTAGACTTCTTAACAAACAGACTGGTCTGTGAGGATCCACAACTTCTCCTCCACCATAACCCTCAGCACCGGCTCCCCTCAGTGCTGTCTGCTGAGACCCCTCCTGTTCACTCTGCTCACATATGATTGTGCAGCTACCCATCCAGGCTGTCACATTGTAAAGTTTGCAGATGATACAGCGGTGGTGGGATGCATCACAAACAATGATGAGTCCAGCTACAGGCAGGAGGTGGAACACCTGGAGAGCTGGTGCAGGAAGAACAACCTTCACATCAATGTGAAGAAGACAAAGGAGATGGTTGTGGACTTCAGAAGAAACAACCCCACCCCCTGAACATAAGAGGATCTGCGGTGGAAGTGGTCTCCAGCTACAAGTACTTGGGTGTACATCTGAATGACAACCTCAGCTGGAGCAACAACACCACCAGCCTGATCAAGAAAGCTCATCAGAGACTCTACTTCCTCAGACGGCTGAGACGAGCTGGTCTGGAAGCTCAGTCCTCACCTCCTTCTACAGGTGTGCAGTGGAGAGCATCCTGTGCTCCAGCATCAACGTGTGGCATGGAGGCTGCACAGCTGCAGAAAGAAAAGCTTTGCAGAGAGTGGTGAAGGCTGCACAGAAGATGTTGGAGTCCATCTCTCCCCCATCACAGACATCTACACCTCCAGATGCAGGAAGAGGGCCACCTGCATCATGAAGGACCTCACTCACCCAGCACACACACTTTTGCCCCACTCCCCTCAGGCAGGAGGTTGAGGAGCATTAAGTGTAGAACCACTAGACTGAGGAACAGCTTCTACCCTGAGGCTGTTAGACTCATGAATCTCTAATCAGGATAATCACTGTGAAAAACCATATCATGTTGCTGCTGATCTGTTTCATGTTGCTGCTGATCTGTTTCATGTTGCTGTGTTCATGCTCATCTGCTCACACAGACTCACAGTTCGTGCTGCTGTTCGGCGTATTGTTTTTATTTTATTAGTGCTTAGCATATTTTTAGTTGATGTTTTTCTTAGTTCATACCTTAGATCTTATTACTGTTTTTCTTTTACATGTTATTGTGGGATGTAACTGGGACCCTGTGTACATAATCTCGTTCCACCACATGTACCACATGAGGTGTGAATGACAATAAAGAAACTCTGACTCTGGAGTATACACAGTATGCCCAAGTATGTGGGAGCCCTAAAACAGTCAATTTCCTGGAAAACACCAAATCTCTCCTTTGTAGCAGCTACACAGTCATTTTCAACGTGGAGCCAGAGTCCAGTTCATTAATGTAGTTTACAGTTCAGTTAACTTGTTTTTAATAGTGTGTCCCGTTTAATTATCAGTGTTTGTGTGACATACAGTTTGTGGTGTTGAATAAATAAATAAAAATTAAACCTGATGTCTTCATTTTCAACTTTAGTGTTCACACTATATGTTTAGCATCATTTTAAATTTGAATTACATGTCCAGATAGCTTCATTTAGCTCAGAGCTTCATTATATCTCTCACACTAACATAAATACTGTTTATTGTTATTAAACTGTTGTTATTTAGCACATTTAGATGTTATAGTGCAGTGCGACGTGTGCACGTGACTCGTTCTATAAACAGAGACATTAGAACTGGATCAGATTGTGTCTCTTCCAACACAGATGTCGGTCACAGCACCTGGAATCTGATGTAGATTAACCACGAGATTAAAAATATATTCCATCAATCGTAGTTCTGAAAGAACTGTATCCGCCGCCATGTTGATAGAAATATAGCGTCTGTCCGCGCGTGCGTGCGCATGTGATTTAACACGAAGCCTCAGCGGGAGATGTTTACATTATCAGCGGGGGGTCAGAGAAAAACCTCCACTATGGAAGGTGGGTTCAGAAACCTCTGGATTCAAAGAGGGGGGCCACTGGTGTCGTGTAAATGATCAGCAGAACCACAGAGAGAAACCTGCGGATGCACTCAAAATACACGCCGTGTAAACGGCCCCTTTTTCACACCTATCAGGAATTTACATCTATGTCACCAGAGTGTCTGCACTGTGGGTCAACAAAGACCTATTGTGATGACTGAAATCTGCATATGCATCTAGCTTGTTGACAGTGGGAACTGCAGCAGCAGGCAGTTTTACACAGCAGGAGGTGGGGGAGCGAGTGAGGGGCTGGGTGTGTATTCAGTGAGGGAGAGGAGGAGGGGACGTGAGAAGGAGCAGACTGGGAAAGTAACTGGCAGGTTGTCACGTATTAGAACTACATAGAGTGAAACTATATCATTTTATTTTGATAAAGTCTCATTTTATATCGCAAATGAAATGATATTTTAAAAATATTGAGATATGACCCAGCCCTACTTGAGGTTGTCATTACATCTGCTATTACTGACAAACTCACCTGATCTCATTGATCTGCTGTAGGTTGGTAGAGATCTCAGCGGTCACATCCCCAAGTGGGACACCATCTTTGAACCAAGTAACACGAGCATCGGGAAAAGAGTCTATCTTTGCTCTGAACTCCCGAACCTCATCCAGCTCTGCAGCTTCATATTCCTTGAACTCTGGCTCGATGGACACAAACGCACTGTCTATTGAAAATAACAAGATCAACGGAAAATTAACAATTACTCACCCGCACTAATATATGTATATATATAATGCAGCATGATATTCATTGTAAATGTAGAAAACAATACCAAAAACTTGGATGGTAAGTTGCTTCGTCTGACTTTCATTAGAAATAATGTCAGTGATGGAGCAGGAGTAGATGCCACTGTCTTTGGTTGAGGCTTGTGGAATTGTCAAAGTGTACAAGATCTCCTGGTCTCTCTTGTTTTCACGGAAAGATTTGCTGCCGCGATTGGCCTGTCAAAGAAAACAGAACATCATGTATTTTGAGATCAACACTACCACTGATGCACATGCTAAATTTGTAAAGTCTTTTGATTTACAGTATGATTTTGTGCCCATACCAGTTTACCAGGATATTTCCAATGGTCTTCCAATATGTCAGGTCCTTGAGCCAGACAGCTGACAGTGATGGTGTCTCCCACCAGAAGAGTAGTTCTTTTGGCTGACAGCTCAACATTTAAAGCACCTAAAATAGAACAATTGATACCAGTGAAACATTGATGTCAGAATAGAGAGACCAAAACATATTAAGCAGAAGATGCAACAGATATCATTAGAGATGTCACAAACACTGGAGCACACACCTATCACCCCATGTACAATGTATTCCACACTGGAGTGCTCCTCTCCTTGTATGACAGCCTTGCAGACATACGTTCCAGCCGTAAATATTCCCAAAGCACCCTTTTTACTGTCGTAAACACAAGGTACAGGCTGCTGGGTGTCAGTGTTCACCAGTGTCACATGGGCTTGTGGGTTAGACACCCTACATGGAATCTCCATCTCATCATGGTCAGACAGGACGTGGTTCATAAACACCGGTGATGGCAGAAACGGAACGTCAGGATCTGTGTTGGAATAAAACAAGTCACTCTAACCAGAAAACAGAGAAAACATCTAAACTATTGAAGTAGTTGTTGACTCCATACCTGGCACATAGATGTAGATGCTGCTTTCCTCTGTGTCATCGGTGCTGTTTGTGCTGTAGAAGCACGTGTAGGAGCCAGTGTGCATGGCTGTTGCACTGTTCACGGTGACCGTGGTGACAAACAGACCACTGCTGTCTTCCTGGGTTTCCTCAAGCATATCAAATGGCATGTCCCACTCCAGCTCTGCTGCTCCGCGACACGTCAAGCTAAAAGATGTGTGAAGAGGCACCACCATCTCGTCCACATCAGGCAGCATCATGGGAGCCGAGGAAGGTAAGATCATCGGTCCAGCAGAAGCTGAAAACAAAATAGCAACACTGAAAACTTTCAGTCATATCTGTATGATGCGTACGTACGGTACTTTTCTTTCTGTTGATCTCACCTCTCACTTTAATGACAAAAGAGAACTGAATTGTGTGAGAGCCACTCAGGACTCTGATGGTGTAATTTCCATTGTCTTTCTCCAGAGGATGTCGAAAAGTTAGAATGCTCTCATACCTGTGAGAAGGAAAAACCTTGAGCGGTCATTTAAATGAACAAATGACATCCTTGTTAGATTCCTAAAAATAGTTTACAAAGTACTATTTTTATGAGTTTCAAATTGACAGAAAAAAAATATTACTGCAGTGTCACAGCTTTTCATGCACAGGGCAACATCTTGTATTCTGAGGTCAGCGTTAGTCAGACAACAAGGCTCAGTTGATCCTGATGCATGCTCAATAATCCAGGTAGAACAATCTAAAAAAGTTTAATCTGGTCCTCTGGACATTCAAAAAAACAAAAAACAAACGTTCAGTTGATTTTTCTTTTCCTGTCTTGGAACTCAAAAGTTCTGACTTCTGAGTACAAATGAAATGCACCACAATCAACACACTAGTTTAGTCATAAATAGATATAAGAGGAAAGTGTTAGTGCTGCTCAACGTCTTTTTGCTATAAGCACCACCCATGTTCACTTTCTTTGATTGACACTTTCTGATTTTACAGACTGTGATCTGCAGAACGACTCACCCGTCACGTCTTCCTTGTTCAAATGTTAAATGTGGAATCACAATACTGATGCTTACCGAGTCCCTTCACTGTGGCTTGTTTTGCTGAAGACATAGTAGTTCTCTGGCAATTCTTTGCCGTCTTTGAGCCATGAAACTTTGGGGACGGGGTAAGCACTGATGAGAATAGTAAACTCTGTCGCCTCTAAAATGCTGACAAACTCCGTCGACAGAATGCCACTGTGGTCCAGGGTCAGAAAAGAATTCTCCTCTGTGTAAAATAAGGAAAACAACAAGCGCTTAGTTCTTGACCAGTAGGAGCAAAGAAGCAAAGTCTGTGAGGACAGGAAAGAGTTTCAGGAGAGGGAAACCAGGCCGAGGGCTGGGGCGAAGTGAAGTGAAGGCCTGACACACATCTGCTGAGGCCATCCCATAAAACCAAGTGGCTGATGTTAAAACCAGAGCTGAAGCTGAAAACGACTTCCACACACAGCTTCAACACATTAGAGGTTGCACTAATTCACCTGAGCGATGACGAGAATATGAAATCGTTTTCAATGACTGTAAATCCTCAGCTTGAGCAGACATTATTACAGTGCAGAAGGAAATATTCTGGAAATGTTTCTGATGGGGAGGCTCACCAAAAACAGTTACAGCCACGCTGCTGACTCGGGTTTTTCCACTGACTGGGTGCGTGACGGAGCACTCGTAAGCGCCGCTGTCTTCAGGGGAGGCTCTCGGGATGCTGAGGGTGTAGATGACCCAGTCAGGAGACGTCTGCTTCGTCTGAATCGCAGTTAGAGCCTGCAGGAAAAAAGGACAATACATAAATATAAAATGTAATGTTACTCTCTGCCTCCTTCACTTTTGTTGTTGTTGTTGTTTTACAGGTCCAGCTGAAGACAAACGACTGAAGCCCAGACACAGAGGCTTTTAAAAGCCTGAACCAGGACCCAGGTCTTCTGTGTTCTACCTGTCTCTGAAAAACCTCTTGCACACACACACACAACAAGTACACATTAATAATGTGAGCAGAGATGAACATAAATTACATGTAGAACTGCTTCAGATCCTGGAAAGCCTGGGATGTTCAGCTGGTCGTCATGCGCAGACTCTGATGTCTCACCAGGTTCAAACTTTCATTCTACACTACCTTCTTCACTTCAGCTGCTGAACCTTACATCCTCTTCATCAAGGCAACATTTATACTAAAGGCTTCACTTTAAATTACTCTTCACTTGTCATTTATGGATTTTAAGAAACATTTCACTTTGCTGAGGAAATAACTTTTGACAAGCGTTTGAAGGAATCCATCTCTCATGCAAATAATAATGGAACATCATGTGTGGGCTTCAGACCTTCTTAACTCGTGTCTTACGTCTGAGTTTTGGTTCTTCTCACGTCTGCTCTTCTGCATTTTGTCTGCGTTTCCACCTACTTGTTGAGTCATTTGTTGGTGTTTTCTAATTATGTGCAATAAGTTCATGTGCGTTAAGTAAAACCAAATTCCTTTTGTACGTACGTGGTTCTGATTCTGATAAAGTGGACTTCTGGTTGAAGCGACACAAAGAAACTAGTTAGAAATAAAGAAAATGCTCAGAAAGAAAATCAAACCCTGGAGTTTACCTGATTCTTTGAATGGAGCCAGTACTGACGGTAGTCTGAGCCAGATGGAGCGATGCAGGAGATGTTGAGGGGCTGCCCCGCCCTCATCGTCTCTTCACTAGCTTTAACCTCCACATCAAAGTCCTCCACCTCCTCCGCTTCTAGAGGAGGACCACCAGAGAAAGGAGATCAGTGCTGCTGTCTCATCTCAAAGGAACCAACACGAAGATTTATCACGTGACTTTCAGTTGAAGTTAGGCTAATGCCTTATAGCATTTTCAAATAAACAAAAATAAAGAGGATTTCAAATTAAATGTGTCATCATCCATCCATCCATCATCCATCCATCCATCATCCATCCATCATCTTCTGCTTATTCTGAAGTCAGTCTCGGGGGCAGCAGCTTGGAGGTCCAGACATCTTTCCACAGCTCCTCTTCCAGATCTTCTTGGAGGACCCCAAGGTGTTCCCAGGCCAACCAAGAGACATAGTCTCCCCAGCATGTCCTGGGTCTTCTCCCGGGTCTCCTCCCAGTCAGACATACCCGAACCACCTCAACTGGCTCCTCCTGATGTGGAGGAGCAGTGGTTCTACTCTGAGTCTCTCCTGATAACTGAACTTCTCACCCTGTCTCTAAGGGACAGTCCAGCTCCCCTGCAGAGGAAACTCATTTCAACCTCCTGTGTCCACAGTCTCATTCTTTCAGCCTCTACCCAGAGTTCATGACCTCAGGTGAGAGTAGGAACGTAGACCGACCGGTAAACAGAGAGCTTTGCCTGACAGCTCAGCTGCGTCTTCACCACAATGGACCGGTACAGAGTCCGCAATACTGCAGACGCTGCACCAATCAGTCTGCCAATATCACGCTCCATTCTTCCCTCACTTGTGAACAAAACCTGGGAATACTTGAACTCCTCCACTTGAGGCAGAACTTCAACCTCGATCTGAAGAGAGCAATTATTTATTTTCCATTGATTTATAAAACTGCATCTCATCTTAGCTTACCCTCATCTTTGACGGTGTAGATGGCGCTTGTGAAAGTCTTGTCCTTTACGGTTGTCTCACACTGGTACTGCCCAGGAGGGATGCTGTCAATAAAGCCTGTCTGGCCAACATGAAAGTCACTGATCTTCTCTCCGGTGGAAACGCTCTTCAGGACAACCGGAATGGCTGGATGGGATACACGGCATGGGATGATCACTCGGAACGGGTTGTAGGGGACAATAAGGTTTTCCGGTGTCTCTGGGACAAACAGCACATCAGGATCTGGATGTGCAGAGAGAAAGATTTTATGATTCATGCTTTTGATTACAATAGTTTATTCTTGTTTTGAACCCACATAAAGAAATGTATAGGTTTGCCTGATGTTTAGTGACATTTCTCCATTTGTTCTATCACCAACACGGTGGCTACCGGTAGTTTGTCTCCAGCTGTGCATCTAACGTTCACATTCTTTTGTATCGTTGGGCCTAATTTAAAGTCTTTTTTGGATTTTCATGCATTGTTATAATTTGGGGGTTCAATAAATTTAAAATTTTTCTACCTCACTTTGTTTTAAAACAATTTTAGTATCCAAAACCCCCAAAGCACAGGTTGAAAATGAAAACAGTTTAGTTCAATATAAATTTGCTGAGTACAGGTTTATTAAAGCCAGTACATACAAGCTGACAAACTTAAACAGGAAAACTTTTCTGCTGAGCAAACCTTTGTGAAACAAGTAATGAGTGTTAGTTATTGTTTCAGAGTATGTCTCCAGTTTGTCCTCCATGACCTATTTGCACAGAAAAAGCCGTGAAATCCGATCATTTTAAGCTCATGTGTCTAACGTATCTTATGCTGTTAGTTGCAGTACTGCAGTTCAAAGTCTTTCTTTAAGAAACTATTTCTGTGATAAATGAAGAGGACCACCCTGCTCCTCTGGTTCTGTTGAAACTCTGTTTATGATTCTACCATTCAGCAATCTATCTTTAGTTTTTACATTATTCTGGAGCAACTTTACGTACCCTCTAATATGTTTACCTTGGACAAAGACGTAAATAAATGCCACATTATTTGGCATTTCATCGTCCTGGTCGATCTCCTGGCTTGCATAGATGCACTCGTAATAGCGAGTGTGCTCCACAGTTGCGTTGTAAATTAAGAGAGTGGAGGAGAAAACCCCAGGAACAACTGTGGCGTCTTGGGGCAGGGGTTCAACCCAAGTCACGTCTTGCTCGCCGGTGCAGCTGATGTTGATGAGAGAGTTGGGCTGCAGGAACAGCTGCTCCTCATCTGGACTGATAATTGGTGATGCCAGTCCAGAGAGAACTGATAAGAGACAAGTGGGTCAACAAGCTGTCAGAAATATAAAAAGAGAAAATAATGTGTCTGCACTTTATTTAGGCGCTTACCTGAAACCATAAACCCAAAGATAACCCCCAAGGCCACAAACGTCTTCTTCCCATCCATGACTATAGATGGTCAGACCTGAGAAATATAAAACAGCAACTTTTTAAAAATCACTGTTTCCACATCGAAACAAAGTCTACGGTCACTGTTCAGTCAATGATCAACGTGAAAATATTTATGGACGGCATTCACTAACAATAAAAAATATTAAATAAAAGTATACATAATGTTTTAGTTTATTGTAACTAAAATAGTTAAAAGATTGTGACTTTCAAGCTGCACTTCCCAATAACTACCAGTAGAGGGCGACACAGTCCATCATTTAGTGGCATTGAGTCCAATCTGAGGTTAAAGAATGGTTCAAATGCACCCCCTCACCCCTTTCAAGTTGCTTTTTATTTGATCCATTTTTCATTTCTCTTAATTTCTATATTTTTAAGTCCACATTGCTACATTTGATTTTTTTGATTTTTGATTTTTCTGCAATATATAACATATTAAACTTTTTTAAATAAATGTCTATTTAATGTGTAAGAATTATGCCATACCATCTTTAAAAATATATATATATATTAGTGTATTTAATGTTTATTTTTGGCAGCAAGCTCTGGAAACAATTAATTCCTCCTTTGGTCTGGGCAACCTGGACCAGGGTCCCGATCCGGGCCAAGTTTCAGGAGCGCTTGTAACTTAACTCCATTCAGACCAGCTCTGCTCAAAAGCTTAAATATTTCTCTTAAGGATTCGTTTTGTTTTTCACAGACACAATGTGTCCTCTGTGTTTAATGCACTAAAACAACAACAACAACAATAAATACGTTGGTCCTTTCACTGTTTCCTGCGGTCGCCTACTCTGGCTCGGCTCGGCTCGGCCTGAATGATCCGTCTGCTCTGCGTTTGTTAACTCTATAATTAGCGCACCCACTCCACACAAAGGAACATACTGGCGTGGGAATCTGCAGACAAAATGCTTAATGGGTTTGGACCTTTTTACGCACACTCCATGTCCAAGAAGACTTAGTATAAATGTTGTTTTTCTTTTTTTAAATTGGACTAAAAACTCTACATGAAATAAAGTTTGCAGAGGTGTTGGACTTTGCTCATGCCCCACTCTTCTTTAGATGAATTAAACAAGACTTGCACAGCAAAACTTAGTCAAACTTCAAATTTTAAGATCAAAAAGTGTCTCCGAATGGAAAAGATGTGCACAAGAGGGAAATTAAAGTTTGGGGGTTTTGGTCCACAGGATGTGAAAATGTGAGCAGACCCTTTAGTGCCCAGCAGGGTAGGTGGTGAAAGAAGAATGTCTCAGCGCTTCTCTCCTTTTTGGATCAAATCCTTCAGCAGTTTAGATTCTCAGTGTCCAGTCCGCGCTCCAGTTGCATGTACAGTATTCCAGTTTAAGCCTCCTGAAAAGAAGAAGTGGTGCGCACACTCCAATATGTTTCCCATTAAACGCTGGGCAGCATCCCACAATGGAGCCTTCAGTCTCGGGGGTGACACCTCCAGCTGTGAGGCCGAACACGCGCGCTTTCATCCAGCAGAGTCAAGCGACACCCTGGGGTGGACCATATGGCGCACAGGCGCGCAGAGGAAGAACACAAATGTCTCCAGATAAAAACTGCTCAGAGATCCTGAGCAGAAGTGATCCTCCAAGTGTCGGGGCGCTCCAGTCCTCAGTGAATGAACCAGCTCCAAGCAAAGCTGCACATCCGCGCGCGACCAAACTCCAAACAGCAGTAAAAGAAATCTGACAAGTTTTGTCTCATTTGAGACTTTTCCAGAAACTAAATGATGATTTTACCGGATCTTTAAGTTACCTTGTTCTAACCCCCCCTTCCTCTCAGTACATCCAGTGAGTCCTCTGCAGCGCGTTAATCCTCACAGATCCTGCGCTCTGTCCACATGCACGAGATCCTGCGCTCTGTCCACATGCACGAGATCCTGCGCTCTGTCCACATGCACGACCGCCTCCACAACTGCGCTGCAGCTACAGCGACCTGTAACTGACTCAACGTTACACCCCCTCTCCTCACCCCAGCCTCCCAATTCCCTCCCAAAAAGTCATCATCTGGCTCAAAGTAAATAACTCTCAGGAAATGCCCCCCCCCCCCTCTCTTCTACTCCTTGAGTTTTTCAAATGAAGAGACATTTCAGGTGTTGGACAAAAAGAGAAAGAACATTCTGGGGCCAAACTTTTATCCTTTTAACTCAAATGATGTTGGTGTTAAAAATGTTGCAAAATATTGTTTATGACTGCGTTTGTGAGAAATTCGCTTTGTTAAGCAGTTTTTTCACGACTTTGCGTTGAGTATTTGTATTTGTGTACTTGTGATGTTTTGTACAGCTCAGTGTTAGGGAGCAGCAGAGATGACGCACACGTCTCACAGAGGGCGCTCCAACACCACCAAACATCTGTCTGCAGCCTTCACACCTCCCATCCAAACAAGATAACTCCGTTTAGTGCGTGTGCGCGCGCGTGCGCGAGCGTGTGTGTGTGTGTGGGGGGGGGGGGGCGCTGGGCCCCGGGGCAGATGCTCCAACCTCTCCCCTCTTCCTCCACTCCATGCAGCCGCTTGCTGCAATGACTTCCACATGTGAGCGAAAAGAACAAAGTTCTTGTTCTGCAAAGAGTCTCACCTAAAACCAAGCTGAGCCTCAGTTTAGAAGACAAACTGGTAAACTACTACACCAGCTAAAGCTTCCCGTCTAAAACTGCTGTTGCTGTTTTGTTGATTCGTTTGATTATGAGGCGGTCAGTCTGGAAACTTGAGTCCAATAAATGCTCTGACCAGAACTCTTCAGAACTAGTCCTGCTGAAAACATCCAACAGAGGGTTTGGAGTGACACAGAAGTGTAAGTAAAAAAAAGGTTTGTAAACTCAATCATCCGGGTAGATAAGTACACAACAGGCTCAATCATGTCAAGTGGACAGTTAGTTCTGAAGCGGGGGCCCTCAGGCTGTTTCTGTCACTGTTGGCCTAAAACATCTCATTGTTATGCACTGATTGGTTGTTTTGGATGGACGCTCCCTTTTTGCATGTGTAAAGTCAGTTTCTGGGAATTCAACAGCAGCTGGCTTTAACACATAAGGCCCATTTAGAATAGAATAGAATAGAATAGAATAGAATAGAATAGAATAGAATAGAATAGAATAGAATAGAATAGAA